GAGACTTGGAGGTGTAGGTAGCATATTGATGACAGAGCAAGGACCACAGTTGTGGGCATCAGGTGCCATCATCATTGGGTTACTCTGTGTGGCGAGGTCAGCGTCAGAGGAAACTTGGTGCGGAGAGCCCTGGCTGGTTAAAAATTGGCTTGTGTGCATACAGCTCACGGGCCAGGCTGGTTTACTAGGGCAGAATGATTTGGGCCTTTGTGAAAGAATCAGTGGAGTGAAGCGTGAATCTTTCCCGGCACAAACTTGCCAACAGTACTGGCCCTAAGAAGTGGCACGTCGTATCTTTTATGTGATTCCCTCCCACTGTGGTTTCTGGAGCGTGGCCGAAGACCTGTGTCTGGCACAAAGGAAACTATAGTTTTGGAGAACCAGGAGCTGCTTAAGATGAGAAAGGAAAGGTGGGCCGGGGACCTGTGGAGCTCAGGTGTGACTGTGCCCACCCCATCCCCTTGGCCTGGTAAGGCTTCTCACGGTGTCTCCTTTCTCACAGAGGAGAAATGGCTCTGAGGAAGATGTTACTGCAGGGGCTCAGGCTCAAGAATAAGGTTGCCGTACGTGGGCATGGCATTTGCCACCATCAGTGGATACGCCGGGCTTCTACTGTAGGCTGGAGGTTGGCTCTGCATGTCTGTGCCTCCTGGGAGGAGGGTGCAAAAGTGAGTCAGCTGGGCACCCGCTGGCTGCGTGTCCCGGCAGGCGCTGTCCAGACGGCCAGCATGAGGGAGGGAGCTCTTCCCAGAGGCCCGCCGGGAAACCAGGGCTTTGGCTGCTGCCCTGGGGGCAGGGGAGAGTCCTCGGGGGTTTTGGCAAGAACTTGAGGGTAGTGGTGGTTGGCAGGACGGGGAACTGGTGCTCAGGAGGACCTGAGAGGCAGGCAGCAGAGCCCTGACTTCCAGCAAGGGGGGCTCAGAGGCTGGGAGCTGAGTGCTCTGGTTTGGTAGACGTGTCTAAGGGCACTTTGAGATCTTGTAGGAGTCTGGACAAGCAAGCTTTTTTTTTTTTCTTTTTTTCTGATTACTGGTGTGGAAATCCACTCAAATACCAAATTAATGTTCATTATTATTATTTACATTTCATAGGCTGGGTGAGCAGAAAATCAGCTTGCAAAACCTCAGATTTAAATTTATTTATTTATTTTTTAAAATTTTTATTTATTTATGATAGTCACACAGGGAGAGAGAGAGAGAGGCAGAGAGACAGGCAGAGGGAGAAGCAGGCTCCATGCGCCGGGAGCCCGACGTGGGATTCGATCCCGGGTCTCCAGGATCGCGCCCTGGGCCAAAGGCAGGCGCCAAACCGCTGCGCCACCCAGGGATTCCCTCAGATTTAAATTTAGATGGTAAAATAGGGTTGTTGTTTGAGCGCAATATAATTGTATTTGCTAATGGCATCTCCTGGCCTTGGAGACAGCCCTTCTGTACCAGAATATCCTTGTCACAAAGATTATGCTGTGAAGTTTGAGGACAGACTAAACAGACAAAGAAGTTTGCTGGATTTGGATGCATAACTAACAGGTTTGGAGCATAGAATTGTCCTGTGGTCTATGTTAACTTTTTTTTTTTTTTCCTTTCTTTCTTTGGGGTTCTAAGTGGATCAAAGTTGGCCTTCTTAAGCCAGTGGAATGGTCTGGCAATGCTTTTGTGATCTGGGGCCTGAGACGTGTTATCTTGCCTCTGCCACATTTAAGCAGAGTATTCCTGAAGTGCATAGAGAGGCGGTTGATTAATGAAACCAGAAGCTAAGCTTCATTTTTGTTTTGATTCCAACATTTTTACCAGGAAACTTATAAATGTATCATTTTTGGAAGAGGTACATTTGTGATATTTCTTAATACAAAAATATTTCCATTAGTAAATTTATTAGTAAAGCGAAGAAAACATTTTGCTGTAATCCTACCACCTAGGTGACCTGCCATTACTTTATGGGTAGATAGACTTCCAGGCCTATTATGCATGTTTAGTTTAGTAGCCTTTCTCCCTCAAAAACTGGGAGTTGACCAGGTTCTGGTATAGAATAGTGAAATGTTAATTAACCACAGATTTAAAGGGAACTTAGAGCGAAAATAATCTGGGTATTCAGGAGGAGATAAAGCATCATAGAGCTAGCAAGAACTTCTTTACCTGCAAATTTTCTGTTACCATTTTCTTGGTATTTCCTTGGAGGTGTGTGTGTGTGTGTGTTTTAAGATTTTATTTATTTATTCGAGAGAGAGAGAGAGAGGGGCAGAGGCAGAGAGAGAGGGAGAAGCAGGCTCCATGCAGGGAGTCTGATGTGGGACTCGATCCCGGGCCCCTGGGATCATGCCCTGAGCTGAACCCAGGCGCTTAACCGCTGAGCCACCCACGCGTCCCATATCTATGTTTTTCTCTGTAACATAGCAGAGTCTCCGGGAGCAGCTACCATCTGGTTACCTAGTTATTAAGGTCATATTTCCATTGCCCCAAAGAACTTCAGTTACACTCAGCTTCTACCTTGATCCTTGTACAGCTCTGCAGAGCAAACCTTACTCAGCTCTGAGCGGTCTTTGCAAGTGAGGCCAAGGAGCCACCCTGAGCCACAAAAAGGACATTATGTCACCGGAAGCCCAAGCCCCGAGAACACAAGGTATGACCCAAAAACCAGTGGCCCCGGCCAGGTTTTTGTTTGCAAGGAAACACTCTTGTTTCGGGTCTAGAGAAGAGACAGCTGACTATGTTTTTGTGTTTTTTATGTTTCTGTTTTTGTTTTTTGTCAGCTGGTGTTTTTTTTTTTTTTTTTTTTTAAATTTTATTTATTCATGACAGACACAGACAGAGAGAGAAGCAGGCTCCATGCAGGGAGCGTGATGTGGACTCGATCCCAGGTCTCCACGATCACGCCCTGGGCTGAAGGCGGTGCCAAACCGCTGCGCTATCAGGGCTGCTCCAGCTGGTGATTTTTAAGAAGATGCAGGTTAATTATTCCAATCCACTCTTTGAGATCTTGTTTTATTCATGATGACAGTCCTCAGACTGGATGATGATCCCACTTGGAGGCCACAGCTAGGCCTTTGTGTTCCAGTTGGCTGGGTGTGCCACCTGGTGCCATCTCTTCAGTCATGTTCTCTCAACAGGCAGACTTACCTCAGCCCCGCCATGTGCTCCGAAGGCACAGGAGCCCTGACTCCACACGAGTGCCAATAAAGAAACCCTGGCTGCCGAGGCAGGCCCTCTAGTAATTCATAAATTCTTCAGATTTGGGGAAGGAGGGAAGAGAGGTATAAGTTTGGTTTTGACAAAGAAGCTTTGGGGTACACGGAAAGGTTCAGCAAACACTGGAACACTCCCCAGTACTAGGTGCTAACAGAGAACAGGTAGGTCACAGAGGAGAGGACCTCCAAACGTTTTCGTTTTGGTGCCTGGTGTGTATGAGGGAGTTAGGAAACACATGTTGAAAGGAGCAGTGCCTTTGCCGTGTGGAGTAGTTAGCCAATATCTTATTTCCCCATTTTTGAAGCATTAGCCTCTGTAGCTGAGGATGGGTAGCCATGCGTTTTCACTAGCTGACAAGTTTTGCTCACAACTGGTCACAGAACTTCTTGGGCGTGTATCAGAATTCTTGAAGGTAGCAGATACGGGCTGAGATGCAAGCTACCCCGAGAGGCCCCAAAGTCAAGGGCGGAGGGAGGAGGAAGTAAAAGTGGCATGTATGGCGTGCCTGGATTCAGAGCCCTGAGAGTTAGTTAGGAGGAGCTGGGACAGGCCTGAGGAGAGGCTTGTTCAGGAGCCTGGGCTGAAGCCTTGAAGCACCCAGGGTGTTAGGAGTAACCCTTGGTCCAAGAACTTAAAGAAGGGACAGCCTTGTGATGAGGAGGGTCGAGCTTCTGACTCACATCCTTACCTGATGGTTCTTCAGACCAGCCTGGAAGCTTCTTAGGTCTCTATAATCAGCAAACTAACCGGCTGAGTGAGTTTAGCTGTCAGTAGTGAAGGAAGCAAAGGTCGGGACAGTTGTCAGGATAGTGACACCTGGTCTGGTTAATTACCTGAAACAGATGGTCTTTGCGGTGTGCTTGTCAGAAAGGGAATCGGGATGGTGTATTAGAAAATCAGGTGGGGGAGAGGGTTTGGCCATTAGTCTGGATTTCCTCAGGTGTAACTGTCCTGTTAAAGTAGCTGTAATATGTCTAGAACCCGACCAGTGCCATTGGGGTTATCTGGTTTAATGCAAATTGCTTTGCACGTCCCTAAAGTCCTGCTGACCACAAGTAGCTGTGGTTTTCAGGTGCAGACTCCTGGGGTGAAAGTGCGCTCGGGATTTTGGGTCAGCTCTGCTTCCTGTCCAAGGAGTGGTTCTTACTATCTGTCAGTGAACTGGGATCGGCTCTCCTGCCAGAGCGAGCCAAGGAATGAACTTACATGTTGCTCTGGCTTAGTGAAAATCTAGGATCCCAGAGGTCAAAGGACTGCCTGGATGATGATTGTCTTTACAACCAGGAAAATCACTTTGAGTTTGGGTGGGGATTATTAAAAACCACTATGGATGCCCCACCCCATAGCGGACGTTTATAGCTTGAGATAGCTTTTCATACAAAGATTTATATTTGCCAAGATACTAAACTAGCAGTTAGTGCTGTCGCCGGAAGGTTGGTCACGCCTTCCTTTGGAGGTAGCTTCCTTCGATGCCTGTGAGATGTTGTTTGGGGGAGGACGAGGAAAGCTGTCAAAGCAGATACCAGCCCGTTGTAAGGGAGAGCTGCTTACAGCGGATGCTTGGGAAGTACGTGTGTTGGGGACGAGGTTTTAAATTGGTCTTTGAGGTCCTTTCCACTTGCTCATGGTCACATGAACCCTTTGCCCGACTTGAGGAGTGCCCACGCGACCAGAGCATGGTGGGGCTCCCTGTGGCTCGTGCAGAGTGTGCCTATTGAGTTAATGTGTAAGCAGGAAACAGCCTCTTGTGCTAAGTGATCTGTTAACCACCTGGGCTTCTCAGACTGATTACTCTCTCTTCAATTCCCCTGGATCCAGGACCTCAGCAGCCATGTCAAAGCCCCATAGTGATGTCGGGACCGCCTTCATTCAGACCCAGCAGCTGCACGCGGCCATGGCTGACACGTTCTTAGAACACATGTGCCGCCTGGACATCGACTCCCCGCCCATCACGGCCCGGAACACTGGCATCATCTGTACCATTGGTGTGTGGGTGTGTCCCCTGCTGCACCCCCCCCCCAAAAAAAAAACAGGGGCTTCATATGACCGTGATCTTCCCTGAAAAGACAAAAGAAATGTAGCAAACCTGGGTGCTGAGCAAGATGCTACACAGGTTCTTTGGGAACTCTGGACTCCGGTCCTAGGAAGTTGCAATAAGGAATTTTGCGTGCTCTGTGTTTGCTGCTAAAGGCAGAATATAGACAGTGTGTTCCTTAGCACATCTTTTAGGAGCATCTCAGAAATCTAGGGAAGATCCTTTTTTTTTTTTTTTTTTTAAGATTTTATTTATTCATGAGAGACAGAGAGGGAGGCAGTGACACAGGCAGAGGGAGAAGCAGGCTCCATGCAGGGAGCCCAATGTGGGACTCAATCCTGGGACCCCAGGATCACGCCCTGAGCCTAAGGCCGACGCTCAACCACTGAGCCACCCGAGGATCCCTAGGGAAGATCTTTCTGACTTGCTGTGTGCAACCAAGATTCTGTGGTTGGACATCTGGCTAGGCTTCAAGGCTAAGTCTTACTTAGGCCTTCTTAGATGGCCTGTAGGATTTCAAGGGCATAGCAAAAGCATCCCCTTAGCTCAGGGAAGTGGGTAAACATAATATTAGTCATGTATATGCTTTTGAAAGAATTTTGAGCTGTTTCTGGGAGGAAAATTTAGGGGAAAAGGATATCAAGAGTTCTTCAAACTTGAGAGTGTTATTCCTCCTTTGAATATTTAACACTTTGGCTTTAAAACTTTTTTTCCCCCTCCACTAGGACCAGCTTCCCGATCGGTGGAGACGTTGAAGGAGATGATTAAGTCTGGAATGAATGTGGCTCGTCTGAACTTCTCTCATGGAACTCACGAGGTGAGCCTCAGCTGGACAGCCTGGCCATAGGGGCAGCCTGTAGGAAATTGGGTGGCAGTGTGGTTCATTTAGTCATAGTGAATTAGGCAAGAGGAAGTCTGGGGTTTACAGCCAGCGGGACGAGTGTCTTCTTCACTGGCCTATCCTATCATCCTTTCCCCATCTCCTGCCATCCCAGTTGGCCAAGTCTTCTTAACCAAAGATGACCTATTTGGTTATTGGCCATGGTTTTCTCACACTCGTGTACTGACAAAAGTGTGGAAGGGTTGGGGCACCTGGCTGGCTGAGGCAGAGGAGCGTGCAACTCTTGATCTCAGAGGTGAGCATTTGGGGCCCACACTGAGTGTAGAGCTTGCTGGGAAAATAACTTTAAAAAAAGAGTGTGGAAGGGTTCTACTGGAAAACCCTGTAAGCCATTAGGTAGCATGGCCTCAGTGCTTGACATCTCCTACCCCTGGGTTTCTATAGCTGTTCATATTGCAGTGATGGACCAAAAAATCACCCTGCAGGTTGATTTCTGGCTGAGTGTAGACCCAAGATAACTGAGCAGGTCCAAGAGAAGAGTTTCTATACCATTGCAAGTTAAGGACCGAGTCCAATGTAATCACACTATTCAGCATACAGTACCCCACTTCATCAACACTGTTCCTAGCCTCTCTCTTTCCATGGGTTCTAGCATGTTAAAATAGAGTCAGCACACTCCCCAGCAGCCTGGTAGGAAAGGATCTGTACTGAGGCTGAGTATGAGCTGACTTGACCTGTGGACAGAGACTTGACCCAGGGACCAGGTGGCAATTCTTGGGACATGCTCCATCCCCCCTCCTGTTCCCAAACTCATTTTGAGGGAGGAGTGGAGGTTCCCTGAGGGACAATTCCTTTTAAAACCCATCGGGTTCCATCATAAGCTGTGGGATTTCAAAGTGGTGTTGATAAAGAAGTAATGAAGGCACCAGACTTTTCCTTCTCACGGCTTCTGATATTTTCTGTTCAGAATAAAGAAAAAGCTGCCCTGTAAGGACAAGTGGTGAGGGGTTGCCCTCTGGCATTTGGAAGCTGGTCTTCAGACTAAAAATAAAGCCTCAGGAAGTACAGCCCAAGAGGTGAACTTCTCCTTCTGGAAACGTGAGACTCTCCAGCATGGGTTCCCTAACCCAGTTTCATAAACAGCCTATGGCCTGGCAGGCAGCCGGCCTCCAAATGTCATGGGGGGGCCTGACTGAGTTCAGAGGAGCTGGGCTCAGCCGGCATTTCAGGCAGGTTAAGACACGTCCGTGGTGACATTCTGCAATTTTCCAAAGTCGGGGTCCTTGGCAGGAGTCCCCAGGAATTCTTGCAAGGGTTAGCTCAGCCCAGAGAGAGAGTTCTAAAGATATCAGTGGGGATCAGTTCACCATTGATCCCCGCTGCCGGACCATGCCAGGGTCTGCTGGGTGCAGCAGAAGCAGCAGAAACAGATTTGAAGAAGTTGACCTTTAACAAGGCTTGATGGCCTCTCCCATCCAGTAAATTAACACCGCAGCAGCTCCAAAATGGCAAGGCTGAGTGGTGTCCGCTACACCTGCTGGACAGGGGGGCTGGCTCGGGGATTTGGACTTTTTAAAACAAGAGCCATTTGGAGATAATCTCTGCTTACTTATTCCCAGATTAGAATTGGGATTTGGGAAAACAAAAACGCCCAAGTTCCTGTTGTTTGAGGTTTTTGACTAGAATAAAGTTGTCTCTGGGATCAAGGGTTTGAAAACTCCTCTGAAATTGTTCTGATATCCTATAATGTCACATAAGCAGTTTGATCGCATATCCGAGCTCTTACTTAATACCCACCTTTGATTAGTGGCTACAATCTGCTTTCCCAGCTCTTGACAGTTTTTAAATACTCTTCTAAACAGAGCATTGAAATAGTTTTCTCTCCCTCACACTGACAGAGGGATGTCTACTGTCTGCATCTGATCTTTTCTGACAGCTTTGCCTGCCGCACTGTCCCTAACCCCCTTGGGCAGTTCATATGTGCAAGAGGTATTCTTACTCAATGTGTGGTCCCAGAGACACAGACTTTTTTTTTTTAAGATTTTATTTATTCATGAGAGAGACTGACAGGCAGAGAAACAGGCAGAGGGAGGAGCAGGCTCCATGCAGGGAACCCAGTGCGAGACTTGATCCTGGAACTCTGAGATCATGGCCTGAGCCAAAGGCAAACGCTCAACTGCTGAGCCACCCAGGCGTCTGGAGACACAGCCTAAATTTAGAACAGCCTAAATTTAGAACCTTCCACAGGGACAGTATTGATGGATGGAACTCTTTACCATTTGGTAACATCCCACAAAACCCACAGCCATAGTGGAAGACTCCGTACACTTCCCAGAAATGCACCAAAAGATGACAGTATAGAGGATCTGAATGATGTAAGACCTAATAATCTCATTTGTTTTTACATAGCAGATGATTTTCTGCCCCCCCCCCCCAGAACAAAAACGTGTTGATTTAGAATGTTTATGATTAGTTATTAGGCCACCAAAACCCCTCAAGTTCCATAAAATGGAAATTATATAGACCATATTTTCTGGGATATCTTTTTATGCAAATTTTCAGTCTCCAGAAAACTTTCAGGGGCATGGGCACACAGTAGGTTAATCATCTTACTCTCGATTTCAGCTCATGTCATGACCTCAGGGTTGTGAGATCAAGCCCCACATCAGACTCCGTGCTGGGCATGGAGTTTTCTTAGGATCCTCCCTTTCCCTCTGTCACTCCCCTACTTCATCCGCAAACAAAACTTAACAGGCTTAAATGTACTTTTTGGAAAGCAAAAGTCTTAATGAAAGTTAATGAAATACTTAAAACACTAGGAGCCAAATAATCTAAAAGGGATAAAAGAAAAGCACTGATCTTAAAGCATAACTTGATAAAACAAAATGAATTTGACAAACCAAAAATAACCTGTGAAACAAACTTCTGGAAAGCCTGGTCAAGAATGAGGATGCATAAAAAGACCATGAAAAGGGACTATTTCCCATATATTAGGAGAGAGTTTGAAAGTCATAAAAAGACTTCTACTCTAATTTCTGTAAGTTGGGATGAAGTTGACTATCCTCCAAGAAAAGAAAAGTCCAAGAGGTAGAAAGTATAGATTAACAGCCTGAAGAAATAGGAAAGGTAGACAGCCCAGGTGGCTCAGCGGTTTGGCACTGCCTTCAGCCCAGGGTGTGATCCTGGAGACCCGGGATCGAGTCCCATGTCAGGCTCCCTGGGTGGAGCCTGCTTCTCCCTCTGCCTGTGTCTCTGCCTCTCTCTCTCTCTCTGTCTCTCGTGAATAAATAAAAAAAGAAAAAAAAAAACTAGAAAAGGTGACTGTAGGCTCTAGCTCCATCCCAGGTCAAGAGGACTTGATGGCTTACTTCTGTCTCCCCTTGAAGGAGCTTTGTCATGCTGTTCCAGAGCCTAGAAGTCTTCCCAATATGTTCTTTGAAGCCAACACACACCCTGATAGTGAAGTGAGATGAGGACAGTACCGCAACCAGACAGGTTAGCTCTTGGGGCCTGTCTCTCACTTAGAAGCAGAAAGCAAGGGTAAAATTCAACAGTCCACATCCACTCATCTGTTAAAGAAATTTCTTCCCCCGTGACCATGTAAATTTTATTCTAGGAACATAAAGTCCACACTGGGATGAAATAGAGTGGCCAGTATGAGGTGATGGTGATAACTAGGTGCTCACCTCTGTTCTAAGGACTTCGTGGATTCTTTTACTTTTCACATCAGCTCTGAGGAAAAGGCATCTGACAACAACGAAACACCTACTCCTTTAAAATAAATTACCTCTGTATTCTGTTCTATACAGAATGTTTTTATTCTGTATCGCAAGCTAGCAATAGAAAGACATATTTTCATAACTCCTAGTAGGGATGTCTGCCCCCAGAGAACAAGCCATGGTCCTCATCAGAGACTATAATAGAAGCTGAAGATTCTCAGACACAGCTTCAGGCAGCACCGTCCTTGGAGATGAGACTCTGGTTCCAGCTCCCCCCTCAGCTGCCTTATGGGTGCTGCTCTCCCAGGCAGGCTGAAGGGAAGACAAGGCCTGTCAAGTGCTGAACTGGGTGCCCCTGTTACCAGCAACGTCCTGGTGGCTACACTAAGAACTTGGTGACGTCTTGGCTTTGAGTTCCTTTTTCAGTCGTCAGTCGTGGCGAGTGGGAAGGGAAAAGGCTGGGGAAAAGGCTGGAAGCCAGGGCGATTGGTTCAGAGAGAGGCGCATTTTCCTGTTCCCTAGACCACTCCAGAAAGTGATTGTGAAAACCGGGTCTGGGAGCCCCTAGGCGATGGCTTATTTAGCTTGAGCTATTGTAAGCTTAAGTAAATAACTCTGGAGTTTGAATTGTAGTTGGAATCAATAGGGGAAAAGCTCAGAACTGCCAACTCTCCCACCGGACTCTGACACTGATTGCCCGGCCAGTATCACCCACACACGTTAGTGCAAGGTCTTTTTCTCTCGCAGTCTGCTTTATTTGCCAAGGGAGCGTGAGCGTAAGGGAGACAGGCTTCTTTCATGTTGACACGTGTTTACACCATCCCTGTAGTGGGCTTTGGTGGCCGTATTCTCGGGTTTCTAAGCTTTGGCCTTGAGTGAGTGAGTGAGTGAGTGAGTGAGTGCCACGGAAGGAGTGGGTGGCAACGAGGCGATTGAAATGAGCAAGTGGGGGGTGCTCAGTGAGTGGATGACCCTGACGCCAGACACAGGAGGGTAGAGGTGTGGAACATCACAGGCCTTTGCGGAGTGATCTGCTTCAGCTGCAGCTCCAGATCCTTGGGTGAGTGCACAGCTGTCCTCTTCCTTCCCCCAGTACCACGCAGAGACCATCAAGAACGTGCGTGCAGCCACAGAAAGCTTCGCTTCTGACCCCATCCTCTACCGGCCAGTGGCTGTGGCCCTGGACACCAAAGGCCCTGAGATCCGAACTGGCCTCATCAAAGGCGTGAGTATGGGGGGGGCAGTGGGAGGGAAGGTGCAGGAGGCAGTGGGCCCTAGAGAGCCATCCCGGTTGGAGGCCGTGTTCCTCACAGTGCAGATCTGGAAATTCTATTCATCATGGCTAAAAAAGTTGATTTGGTGTACTTTGCTAAAAAATGGTACAAAGAAGAATCTTTTTTTTACTCTGAGAACCTCCTTCCAAGTCTGTCCGTCGCTTTTCCCCTGTCGTTACATAGCGAGACGATGACGTTGTAGGTTCGTTGTAAGTCTTTCTTTCTTGGGTCACTTCCTTGAGAAAAGATTGTTTATTTCCAAAGCCAGAAGCTTTATTGTTCCTCATGGCTGGGATTGGAGCATGTTCCCTGGAGGAAAGAGCTTTTTTTTTTCCTTCGGAGAGGGCCCGGCTCCTGTGGTTTGGACTCGTGGCTTATTCTCTTGTCTATAGAGCGGGACTGCAGAGGTAGAGCTGAAGAAAGGAGCCACTCTCAAGATCACCCTGGACAATGCCTACATGGAAAAATGTGACGAGAACATCCTGTGGCTGGACTACAAGAACATCTGCAAGGTGGTGGAAGTGGGCAGCAAGATCTACGTGGACGATGGGCTTATTTCTCTGCAGGTGAAGCAGAAAGGTATGTACTGGAGGCAATGTCTCAGTGTCTAGAACCAGCCCCAAATTTCCTTTGACCCAAGGAAAGTGGGAAGTTTGGCTGACAGCAAGGTTAAGGCTAGTTTTTCCTCAGGATTTCTTTCTGTAATCCCTTGTCCTTTACAACAGACTTTGGCCCAACTTCATCACCTTCTTGGGGAGCATAGGAGAAAATTTCTTTTTCCCCGTCCTGTTTGTGTCTTCCTTCCATCGCTCAGTGTGGTTTCCTTCCTTCCTCCCTTCCTTCCTTCCTTCCTTCCTTCCTTCCTTCCTTCCATCCATCCATCCATCCATCCATCCATCCATCCATCCATCGCTCAGTGTGATATGTGTCAGGCACTATCCCAAGTATTTTACATGGTAATTTGTTCACGTTTTATAACAACCTTATGAGTGGGTATTATGATCTCTGACAGGTGGGGAAACAGGCACAGAGAGGTTAGTTGACCTTTCCCAGACTACACGGTTAGTGAGTTAGGATCTGAGTTCTGGACATAGTGGCTCCAGCACCCACAATGTGCTCCTTTCTAGTTCACCCTCCTGGGGAGAGCCTGCTTCCTGTTGGACATTGTGCTCCCATCCCTCCACCCCCATTTTGCACAGGTGCTGACTTCCTGGTGACGGAGGTGGAGAACGGTGGCTCCTTGGGGAGCAAGAAGGGTGTGAACCTCCCCGGGGCTGCTGTGGACCTGCCTGCTGTGTCAGAGAAGGACATCCAGGATCTGAAATTCGGGGTGGAGCAGGACGTAGATATGGTGTTTGCGTCTTTCATCCGCAAGGCGGCTGATGTCCATGAGGTCAGGAAGGTTCTGGGAGAGAAAGGGAAGAACATCAAGATAATCAGCAAAATTGAGAATCATGAGGGAGTTCGGAGGTGGGTGTCCTGACCGTCCCCTGCCCCTCAGCCCCAGCCCGGCATTCCAGAAAGCAGACTGTATCCCGTGGATACCCAGGTCCCAAACCTGGCGACCTACCCATCAGAGTGCAAACTCCCAAGCTTAGGCTAGACCCACTAGGAGAAGGCATTGGCATTTTTAATTATTTACATAAGGGTTTTTTTTTTTTTTAATTTGATGTATTTATTCATGAGAGACACAGGCAGAAGGAGAAGCAGGCTCCATGCAGGGAGCCCAATGTGGGACTTGATCCCGGGACTCGAGGATCTCGCCCTGAGTCAAAGGCAGATGCTCAACCACTGAGCCACGCAGGCGCCCCTATTTACTTAGTTTTTTGTTGAATTTTATTTAAATAATCTCTATACCCGATGTGGGGCTTGAACCCACAACCCTGAGATGTAGAGTCGCATGTTCTTTCAAGTGGGCCAGCCAGGGGCCCCAAGGAATGGGTATTTTTAAGAAAATACATATATCATATATATCTTCCCAGGTGATTGGCATGGCGATGCACCCCAGGAGTGATTGACATTGTTCTGTAGGCCCAGGGCCCAGTGTTGGAGTTGATTGGGGGGGGGTCACTGCTCGCAGGGGCCCTCATGCTGTCCTCCTGATGAGCGCTACCTATGTTTGCTGGAATAAGAGGACATTTCCCCCCATCCTACACCTCCACCCCATTTTTCCCAGTGGAAGGAAGAAGATGGCAGGCTGTTAGGAAGGCGCTCTTTTTTGGCCCCTCACTTGGGAGATAGGTGGAAGCTCATGGTGTCCTTGTCTTCACTTAAAAGGCAGCTGGCCTGCTGACTGGGCTGGTTCTGGCATGTTCCCAGCTTCCTGGAGGAAAGCATGTGGTCCTAGCTGTACTTCACCTCCTCCCCAGTATCCCCAAGTAGAGCTAAAAGAGTATGGCCAGCTTGGTGACCTCTGTTCCTCTGCAGCTCCCTGCTAGGAACATAAGTCACCAGAACTAAAACCCCAGACCTACTTGGGTGGATTAGGCCTGTGCTTGGAGAGGGCGGAGGGGCAGCCCTACCTGCTATTTGATCTTGGCATCCTTAGCTTTGTGCGGGTGGCCTTTGTACCAGGCAATATGGAGTCCACCTTCTGCTGTCCTGATAAACCATGGGTGCTAGCTGTCCTTGGCCACAGGCCAGGCAAAGCCACATGTCCTCATGCCTTCAGCAGGTTGGAGGGGCCCACCTCAAGGAACAGCCCTCAAGTGTCCTTGGCTGGAAGGCCACAGACCTTTGTGTGCAGTCAGCTAACCTTGGAAGTGCTGGCTGCAGTGGGTGTGGTAGAGAGGTGCCTTAGGCGGGGCCTCGTGACCTGCAGGGGGAGAGGAAACAAACCCAGGGGGCTTCGGAGGAAACCTTGTCTTTTTCCCTACCCCTTTGTGGATTGTCTTTTTCCCTACCCCTTTGTGGAACTTCCATATGAGTGCTAAACAGCCCAGCAAGCAGTACGGTTAGCCCACCTTGGGAGACCAGGTAGCTGGAACACCCCATCCCCTTTGTGCCCACGGTGAGGTCCTGGACGGCTGTCCTGGTGAAGGGCTGCTGAGTCAGAGTCCAGGAGACCTCTGTGCCTCCCTGCACTTGCGGCCTTGTTCCATAGAACCTCTCCCTGCCCTCTCTGTTAGGTTTGATGAGATCCTGGAAGCCAGCGATGGCATCATGGTGGCTCGAGGTGATCTAGGCATTGAGATTCCTGCAGAGAAGGTCTTCCTTGCTCAGAAGATGATGATTGGGCGGTGCAACCGAGCGGGCAAGCCTGTCATCTGTGCGACACAGGCATGTGCCTCTCCCCACACTCACACACTCACAGGCGGGTGCTGCTTGGTCTCTTCCCAGGACCCTGCCCCACCCCTCTCAAACACACGTGCACCCTCCCTTCCCCTCGTGCATGCACACAAAGCCATACTCTGTGCACGAACACAGGATCCAGGGAATCAGCCTGTAGTCCTTCCTTTCTGGAGACCACCCAGGCCACATCTCACTAATGCTCTGTCCCCACGCAGATGCTGGAGAGCATGATCAAGAAGCCCCGTCCCACCCGGGCTGAGGGCAGTGATGTGGCCAATGCAGTGCTGGATGGAGCTGACTGCATCATGCTGTCTGGAGAGACCGCCAAAGGGGATTACCCCCTGGAGGCTGTTCGTATGCAGCACCTGGTGAGTTCCTCGGGCCTCCCCATGTCTGCAGGCTCGGGCTGGGTGGAAGCAGGCTCTGGTACGAGGCAACACCTTTTAGGCTTCTGTGCCCACAACCTTTTATGATCCTCTAATAAGTCACAGCAAGACTGCGGAGGTGTGTGCTGGGGAGGAGGGGGGTATCTTGGTTTTCGTTCTCTTCTGTCTTCGCTGTCCACGCTCCATCTCCTGTCTCCTGTCCTGGAGGCATCTTCCTTCATCAGCCTAGCACGGTTCACTTCTGGCCTCGAGGTTGTGAATCTGTCCCATGATTCAAGTACCGAGGTACTTGTCCCTCTTCCTCTGGACAGCCCAGAGGACCCAGAAGAGGCCGTGGGCTCCTGCTCCCTGCCAGCCTGTCTGGCTTCCATTTGCGTCCCTACCTGGCCACATCAGGTGTCTCCCCCCGCCCCCAGGGGCCCCGGGCCTGCACTGGAGGCTGTCATGTATGTGAGGGGACCGAGCTGGCCTTGCATGGTGCCTGCAGCGGGGCCTGCTTTGCTGAGCTGAACGGTGGTGTTTAGTGACTGGCAGCAAGTCCACAAGTAGAGGCAGGTGGAAGACGACTGAGCCTGCTGGGGCGTGGAGGGAGAGCCTCCGAAAGAGTCCTGGAGGCAGCTTTTTCCCACCCCGGTAGCTAGCTAGCTCTGACGCTCTTGGGCTTGGCCACGTGCCTCTGCCTGGCTCCTTCTCAGTTCCTTGGCCCTGTCTGGTCCTGCTCTAGACACACGGAAGACTTAACCCAGGGTTCACTTACCAGGGCTCCTGAGGCCTGGGAGGCAGAGGCCTGCACATTCACTTTCTTATCAGTAGTCCAGTGTCAGCACTTAACATGTGTGGAGCTCTGCAAACTTGCCTCTGATCCTGAAGTGGTTTTTCCTTGACTGTCCTATTCCTTTTCCCATCAGCAGAGGGAACCCGTGCCCTTTGCGTGATGCCGCCTCCCCCGAACTCTCCCAGATGTAACCCCCCCATACACAAAGTCTCTTCCTTTCCTCGTTCACTTTTTGTGTGTCCAGTTATTAGCCTGTGTAGATTGATGTAATCTTCGTATGTCCCCTGTGTGATAGATGTCACCCCAACTTACGGATGAGGATTACATGATGATAAAGCCTTAGTTTGAACCCAGAACTGCTGGCTGCAGGGCCAGTGTTGTCCTGTATGTAGTGTTCCGTCTAGCAGGCGATAAGGCCACGTCTCCCATCAGGGGCCTGTACTGGGCTCAGAGATTAAGACTCTCCCTCTGGCCTCTGAATTCCAGCTATATTTCCATAACCAGTTTCTCCTCTGGACAGACAGACACACCTTAGAGAGAACCCCAGGGCTTGGATGGCACTGCTCAGAAGATAAGTGATGAGGTGTAGGTGAGGTGGCCTCTCCTCACGTCCCCAGTTAATGCCGAGCCGAGCTTCTCTTAACCGTTCACTGCTTTCTCTCGTGTGTTGTGTAAATGAGGCAATTAACCACCCATAACTCAGGGCTAGGCCGTCTCAGGTACGTCCCGTTTCCCGTTTCCTGCTCGGTCTCCTGTCCTTTGATTGCATGCACTCTGTTCTTAGAGAAGAAAGAAAACCTTTAACCTAGTGAATCCTGTCTCGTACCTGCCTTTACCGTCCAATTAATGGAATGTTCTTACTGATTTTTCTCGCACCTGTCATTCTCTAAGATTCCAATCTTCCAAAGCTTAAATTTTCTTTCTACTTCCTGATGTTATCCGAGCAGGTGGTCTGTGAATATAACGGAACGGCTTTCTCATGACTGTGATAATCCTTAATGTTTTAATCAAGCGTCTCTGTTAAACTCACCCGTGTGCTTCCACAGGCTTCTGTCCCTTCACATGGCTGTTGAGTGTGCCCCTCGCAAGTTTGCCATCTCCCCACCTTTGTGCTTGGACCTTGGTTAAGCTGTGTGGCTTTGGCTTCATCTGACCCCAGCTTTCCAGCGCTGCTCCGCGCGTTTCCATGGCAGGCCATCGGAAAGGCTCCTAGCAGCCGCATGCGAAGGCCAAGCAAGTGCTCCATGTGTGCATGGAAGCCAGGCAAGACGCCCCGTGGTAACCAGACAGCCATGTGAGGAGGGAGGGCCTGTTCCTTCCTGTAAGCTGTGTCATGAGGCAGCATGGTCAGGTCCTGCCAGGGAGCGGCGTGGGCCCAGCCTGGGCATGTTCCTATGCCAAGGCGCCAGTGCCTGCCGCCATCTTGACTCCCTCTACCCCCCACCCGCAATCAGAAAATCCTTCCAGAATGGAAGACCCCATTTTTCCTCTTTTGGAGGGGAAACCGCAGCAGTTGATGCTGGAAATTCTCCAGCCATCCCTGAGCAGTTGGGCTTTCATCATGCTGCCTCTTCGCATCTGCATGAAGGACAGATTTAGCCAATTAACCTAAGGTTACCTTCCTCTGATTAATTCCCCATTCTGTCTTTCCATGTGTTGTCTCTCGTTTTTCTCCCTCCCTCTTCTTGCTTCTCCTCCCCCCTCCAAACCTTACAGATAGCTCGTGAGGCTGAGGCAGCCATGTTCCACCGCAAGCTGTTTGAAGAACTTGTGCGAGGCTCAAGCCACTCCACAGACCTCATGGAAGCCATGGCCATGGGCAGCGTGGAGGCTTCTTATAAGTGTTTAGCAGCAGCTTTGATAGTTCTGACGGAGTCTGGCAGGTAGGGCCCCAAAGGCAGGTAACTCCGTAGGATAACCAGCCTCTTGCTCCAGCTGATCTAGAAGACGGCTGGGGCGCAGCCCTGCAGCTGGGGCCCGGCTCCAGTCCTCTCCTCGTCTGCAGGAAGCCAGCCAGGGAGTCAGGGCAGGGCAGGACCGCAAGGGCCTCCGGCTCGGTAGGCACAGTGGCTGCCACAGGCACCTGGTGATGGGCCAGTTCCCATGAACCTTGGTCTTACGCGGCTCCACGGCTCCAGTTGTCCATCGCCTCTTGGCCTCCTGTCCGGGGACACGTCCCTCACCAGCTGTCTGTGAGCCTCTTCCCCTCCGTCTCCCGTGCAACACAGCTCTGACAGTCCTGTCCCCCTCCTGTCCCTCTGGACGGATGTTGCTCCCCTAGATTGCCCGTGAGGCAGAGGCCGCCATCTACCACTTGCAATTATTTGAGGAACTCCGCCGCCTGGCGCCCATTACCAGCGACCCCACAGAAGCCGCCGCCGTGGGCGCCGTGGAGGCCTCCTTCAAGTGTTGCAGCGGGGCCATAATCGTGCTCACCAAGTCTGGCAGGTAGGAGGTGGCAGCGGCTCCCAGGGCACGCCCTGCTCGGGGCACCTTCCCTGGGCGTCCCGAGAGCCGTGCGTTGATCGGGGCTCAGATGACCCTGAGCCCAGGTAAGCCCCTCTGCCTGCCACCTGGGCCTGAGGACCCGAGGTTAGACTAGAGACTTCATTGCAGAACGAGAGACCGACTGCACATGCTCACTTGATTATTTGAAAGTTCATCTTTTAAGAAAGTAATTGATGATCAGTTTTGTTCATTCCAGCCACTATATGCCCTTTAAAAGTTCAGTTTGGGAGATTAGTGCTGTTCACTGACGTGCTGTTGGGTTGGTGCACCTGTCTCTGTCTGTCTTTGAGCCCCAAAGGCAAGCAGGTTCAGGCCTAGGAAAGGTCACCACGTCGTCTTGCTGGCACCCTAGTGTTGTGCCGCCGAGCTGAGGCTGCTGATTGGCCTTGGTCTTGGGATCTCCTCATCTGGACATGGAGTCAGCCTCTGTCATTGCCCCAGTCTGGGAGTGTGCTCCTCATCCCTGCCTGCGGGGCCACAGGAATTCCTGGAAGGGGAAGGGATGGGGTCAGGCTGGTGGTCCCCGAGCATGGAGGAGCGGCAGGTGGGGTTGCCTGTAGAACCCGGACATGAGATCTGTGCAGATTACCTCAGCAGAGGGCTCCAGATAAACAGCTCCAACCATCCGGGTTGACCTTTGTGGAAAGGTCCAGCCTTTGCTCTTTGGCTATTTTTAGCTCCAGTCTTCTGGGATTTCACTCTAACCAGTCCCGACTTCAGCACTTGCTTCCCTCTGAAGCCTTGTATGGGGGCCAGGCCTTTAGCAGGGCAGCCTCTGCTGTGACATGGCTTAAGTTTCCCTGACACCTGTCGGTGTCCTTAGGGCTTGCCTTCCGAGGCCCAGTGCCTCCTGCAAGCAAGCCCCTCCCCAGCTCCTGAGACACGTCTACAGCCACAAGTGTAAAGTGTTAAAGGAAGCATGTGGCACTGGGGCCCAGAGGGGCCCTCTACCCTCCAGGGGACTCTGCACAGACAGAGCCTCCCTCCCACATTAACCTTTCCATCTCCTGGTCTGGCCTCCTGGGTAATACCTAGGTTTGGCTCTAGAGCCGGGTTGCTAGGACTGTTTTAGGGACTTGGGGGCCATGTAGGCTGGGGGAGAGGACACAGCAGTAGAGAGGGCTGGCTTTGTAGGTTCCCTGGGGGGCTGGTGAGCTCTGCTGCTGTTCTTTGCAGATGCCAAGAGTCAGGTGCTATTCACATGCTGCTTGGCTTGTAGCTGCTGCTGGCAGCAGGAGGAATGGGTGCTGGTGAGGTTGGGCAGGGCTGGATCTGTGCCAGGATGGGAAAGTTCAGAGGAGGGGCTTCTGCCAACTGTGAGTCGTGTGGGGTGAGTGGGTGAGACTGTGCCGGGTCGGGTCGGTGTGATCCTGGGGCCCTTGGCTGTGGGGAGGGGGGAAGAAGCCAAGTGGACAGATAGCATAGGAAGAAGAGTCAGATTCTGTTCCTCGGAAGGTAGAGGACAAGGGGCAGCCCTGGCACGGGGAGCAGATGCTAAAGTGGCCAGAGTCTGATGCTGGCAGAATGAGTTGGATTAGAGGCTGAGTTGTTGCTAAAGGCCCTGTGGGGCTCTGGGAGGCTCTGGAACACTGTTTAATGGTCTCTTCTGCTTGGCCGTCATCCTGTCTCAGGTCCGCTCACCAGGTGGCTAGATACCGCCCCCGTGCCCCGATCATCGCTGTGACCCGGAACCACCAGACTGCTCGCCAGGCCCACCTGTACCGCGGCATCTTCCCTGTGGTGTGTAAGGACCCAGTGCAGGAGGCCTGGGCTGAGGACGTGGACCTCCGGGTGAACTTGGCCATGAATGTTGGTGCGTGGCTGGGAACAAGGGCTAGGACCTGGAGGGGTGGGGACGGTGCTTGGGCACTGATCTCCCTGGGATCCCAGAGAAAGGGGAACATGCTGACCTTGGAGTGTGCAAGAGTCCTAGCTGTCTACCCAGGGAACGTTCTCTGACTCCTCCTTCCCATTCCCTGAAGTTCTGGGCTAAGCCCAGGAGGGAGGAGCAGCCTTGGAGTTCTGGGGCTGAGCTGCCCACTTCTCTGTCTTCCCATCCGGGGCCCAAAGCAAAGGATCCTGGATAGTCAGGAATGTCCCTTCTTGGGCATCTGCTCCTTGTTGAGGGTTAAAAAAAAAATTAGAGCTTTACATCATGGAGTGTCCTACACACAGATCACGTACTCATGGCCTTTGTCCCTAATAAAAGTAGGATGTCGGTGCATGAGAGGGACTACTCCACCCTCTAGAGTAAAAAATGAATGATGTCCAAAGGTCCCTCCCTGGCAGCTGCCATTTCAATTGATAAGGAAGCGTCGGGGCCTCCCTCGTCCCTGGGCTGGGCGGCTTGCGCCACCTTGTGGTGGGTGGCAGTAAGGGTCACCCAATCCGGCTTGCTACCTCGGCCACCTGCCTGGCTTGCTTTTCCTCACCGACCTTTCTTCTCTTCTTTCAGGCAAGGCCCGAGGCTTCTTCAAGAAGGGAGATGTGGTCATTGTGCTGACCGGGTGGCGCCCTGGCTCCGGCTTCACCAATACCATGCGTGTGGTGCCTGTGCCGTGACGGGCCCCAGAGTCCCTCCTCCAGCCCCTGTCCCACCCCCTTCCCCAACCCATCCATTAGGCCAGCAATGCTTGTAGTGCTCACTCGGGGGTTGTCATGTGGCACTGGTGGGCTGGGATGCCAGGGAAGATGAATGCCTCTGTAAAACATGACTTTTTTAGGAGCCTGTTCAGTGCAGGTGGCCCAGAGCTGGGCTGCACATCAGGTGACCTCACCCCAGCAACGGACGAGGGAAGGGTGCAGGACTGGAAGCCCCAGAGCTTTAACACGGAGGGCAGCAGCTCCTGCTTCTCCTCCTCTGTGTACTCCATTCGGTTCCTATAGAAAATGGATACGCAGAGAACTCCCAACCCTGGCCTGGCCGGGTCTAGAGACCACCGGCAAGAATCGCAGCCCAGGGCAGTGGTTCCAGTTACACTGGCTCAGGCCCTTACTCGCTTCTCCACCCCCCTGTCTCCCCCCACTCCCACCTGCCCTTCTGTTCCTAGGCTCAGCTGTCGCTGCAGGCAAACACTCCACCCTCCATTTCCCCCACTCCTGCAGCTGCCTCCAGGCCTGTTGCTATAGAGCCTACCTGTGTGTCAATAAACAACAGTTGAAGCACCCATTTCCTTTCTTTTTCTGGTGTTGGGGGGTGGGGAGCGGGGGAAGGGCAGGGGGTAGAGGGGGTTTAGGAGGAGAGGGAGACGAACCTCAAGAACCTTGCGCTCCTGGTGGTGTGGCGACCCAGGCCGCCTGCCCTGGTGTTGTCTGCAAGTGTCTGCCGAGAAAGCAGAAGCTGACAGTCCTGAGATAGGTTCCCCCTTCAGTGCCCCCAGGAGGTGGTAGCTGGGTCTATAAAGGCTGCAACTGGGACATTTTATGGGCTTGGACTGAAGAGAGTGTAGCAACAAGGACCCCTCCGACCTGCTTTGGTGGGGGAACTGAGGCGGCCTTTGCCCTGCACCTCCCCTTAGGTCTGATGCACAAAGGGCCCTAAAGCAAGGGCGCTCTAGGAGAACAGGTTCTGCTCCCAGGTTGCAGAATGCTGCTCTCGGCTCCCTTTGCCTCCTGCCTGCCACTGTCCTCCATCGCCCCCATGACAAAGCGGGGCCAGGGGGGTGGCACAGGTTCGGGAAGGGAACTGTCTAGCTTGCACCTTCCTCTGGACCCTCCCAAGGACCAAGCCCTACGAGGCGGGAGGAGGGAATGGTCCGAGGGCCAGGTGGGCCCAGGGAGAGAGGGCTTTGGCCTCGCTCTGGAGGCCCAGCCCCTTGTCCCATCGCAGCCCTCGGCTTACCCGTCTTGCTTCCCCACTCGATTCCTGGCCGTCAGTCCCCCCACGGGACCCACCTCGGGGAAGTGCGTGACGGCGCCCGGCTCCGGGCTGGCCTGTGTGCCCGGTCCCTCGGGTGGGGAGAAGCTGAAGCCCAGCCTGCAGCTCGAGAGGGCTTAGAGGAGGACGGGGGCCGGTTGCTGCAGAGGGCACCGGGCGAGACTGGTAGGGCCGAAGAGGAGGAGGAACCCGGAGGGGACCGGAGGGGGCCGGAGGCCTGCGCTGTGAGGGGCGGAGGTGCACCTCCGGGGGCCAGGCCGCGGGGCCTCGCTGGTCTGCAGGCTCCAGTGGTCGGGATCCCGCGCGGAGCTCGGCCGAGCCGGGAGGAGGAGGAACGGCCAGTGGGCGGGGCCCGTCCCGCGGCGGCAGCCAATGGGCGGGGCCCATCCCGCGCCGGCAGCCAGTGGGCGGGGCCCGTCCCGCGCCGGCCACTAGTGGGCGGGGCCGTCCCGCGCCGGCAGCCAATGGGGGGCGGGGGCGGGGCCGGGCGCTTGGTCTGGCCGCGGGGTCCCTGGCGCTCGCGGGAGGCTCCGGGATGACCGCTCCGAGCCGGGGCGGGGCCGCCGAGGCGGGCAGGTAAGGGGCTGCGGCCCGCCGGCTGGGCTCGGGGGCCCGGGGCTGCGCGAGGGGATGCCGCCCGGCGGGGCGAGGCGGCCGCGGGGTCTCGGCGCCTGGGCCCCTTCTGGCCGCGGGGCAGGCACTCCGGGCCACCGGAATTTGGGCTCCGCTGCAGGGCTGTCCGGGGCTGTCCGGGGCTGTCCGGGGCTGTCCGGGGCTGCGCGGCGCGGGCCCGGGCGCCTCCGGGGGCTGCGAGGTGTTGGCGGGGGCAGAGGGCCCGGCCGTCGGCGCCCCGTGCTCCGTCCCGGGGAATGGGGGAAGCCCGCGCGGCCTCAGGACGTGGCGTGCACGCTCCTCGGGGCGCCCCCGGCCGCGGCCCCGCCAGCGTCGCTGTCCTTCCTTCCTTCCTTCCATCCTTCCTTCCTTCCATCCATCCATTCATTCGTGCGTGCGGTCCGCAGCCGAGCCGAGTCCTTCGTCCTGGCGCCCCTCACCCCAAGTCGGGCGCTTCCCTGCTGGTCCCGGAGGCGTCCCCCCCCCCACCCCCCGCCGGCTCGGCCCGCCGCGGCCCCGAGGCAGCTCGGAGCTGTCCCGGCACGACTCGGCCGCACCCGGGCTGCAGGGGCCGCCGCTCCGCCTGGAGACTGATCCAAAGTCGCGTCGGGAGGAGGGACAGTTCCTGCCGCGGAGCACGGGGCAAGGGGGCTGGGCAGGCTGCAGGTGCTGCTTCAGGTAGGCAAGGGTTGTGGTCTCCGCCCCCGGAGGGCCTGGGCGCCGCGGGCGGGGCTGCTTGGGGAGGACAGGCCGGAGCGAAGCTGCAGGTCCCAGCGCCGCAGCCTGAGCCCCGGAGGCAGCCAGGGCGGGCCGCCAGCGCGGGGAAGCGGTGAACGTGCGGGTCCTGCCCGGTCCGCCCGGCTGCACCCTCGGGGACCCCCCTGTCCTGTTTTCAGAGGCCGGTGGGCCTCCACCCAGCTGTCATGTACCCTGATTTTCTTTGCTCGCCTCCCCCCTCCTCCTGGGTAAGGGTGCCCCGTCCTTGCGGGGATCAGGCTCCCAGCGCTGAGAGAGGCGCCCGGACCGTTGTGAGGTCTTGGCCCCAGGTGCGCCTCTAGCTGGCTCCAAAGTCCAGCGCTTTTCGGAGACTAGACCCCGTAGTGCGGGGTCCAGCACACCCCCTCTGCTGTGCTCCGATTGTGCTGGCTGGAGTCCAGCCCACGCTGATCGACGCAGGTGAGGGTTTGACAGGGCCAGGGCAGCGGTGAGCATCTCTGGGGCAAATGGACTGGACCGGGGTCTAGAGGGCAAAGCTGACGGAAGCTGTCACGGAGCTTCCAGGACTTTCCGCAGGGACCAAATGGAAGTTCTTCCTGACTTGCCTTAGGGAGAGGTTTCTGAATTAGCCTAGACTGGACAGCCCTGGCCCTGTCCATGCCCTGATGCTACAGGTGGCTTTCAAAATTCTGAACTTAGGTGAGCCCCCCAAAGGCTCCATGCAGAGCGAAATACCTGTGCGCCAGCTCAACGCCCCCGAGAGGACTCCCGAGGTGAGGTGGGGAGTACTCAACATGAGTCTATGCCAGCCAGGCTCCCGCTGATCTTACTAGCACCTCTTGGGTGGCTCTGCCCAGTCCCTAACCTGGTTAAGACGTAGCCTGGGCTCGGAAGGCCACATACCGTGTCCACCCGACCAGCATGAAGGGCCTTCCTCTGGGAATCAGAAGTTGGTTCTAAGCCTCACGCTGTTCCTGTTTTGCTGAGACTTGGGAAGAATCAGGTCCCCTCTCTGGGTCTGTTTTGCCATCATCATAAGGTGAGGAGATTGGATTATAGGCTCCTGTAGGGCCTTTTCTATGATGTCATTCAGTGATTCTGCGAATTAGCCTCAATTTCCCCTCAATTTCTGGAGGTATTTTATTTCTTCACATAATTTCTTCTTTGCTAGGACTCCCTATAGAAAGTCCATGAAATCAAGGGGCACCTGGCTGTCTTGGTTGGTGCAGCATCTGTCTCTTGATCTCCAGGTCATGAGTTCAAACCCCATGTTGGGTATAGAATTTACTTAATAAACACACACACACACACACACACACACACACACACACACAGGCCCATGAAATCAAAAATGGTACAGTATTCCACTTTGGTGTCCAGTGTCTGAGTTTGGACACCAGAAAATAACTTGCTTGTCTCCTTTCCTGAAAAGTGAAAATAAGCCCCCACAGTACTGCAGCTATCTCTGGTACCAAGTGTAAGTTTGGCATGGAGTCGGTCTGGGCCACTGTGCCTGGGCTGCAGGGCATCAATCTGGCACCATTTGTCATCACCAACCTTTGAAGCTTTGATTAATCCCCCAAGTGTTTACTAATGTAGGAAGGGAAGAAGAGGGGGAGACCAGAAGCCCCTGGGAACAGAGCTTCCTGTGTGATAAGAAGCTAACCGCCCCTCCCTCCAAGGATTACCTGCCTGCTGTAGCACAGATTCCAGAAGGAAGGGTTTTTTCACCCAAGAATGTAAGCCTCTACAGGGTAAGCTGTTTCCTCCCTTCTCCCTACCACATCGACACATTTTTACTGCTTTAGAAATGTTTGGTCATAGGGGCATCTGGAGGCCCAGTCGGTTAGGCATCTGCCTTTGGCTCGGGTCATGATCCCAGCATCCTGGGATCGAGTCCTGCATCGGGCTCCCTGCTAGGCAAGGAGTCTGCTTCTCATTCTTCTTCTCCCACTGCCCCTCTCCCCATACTCATCTCTCTTTCTCTCTTGCTGTCTCAAGTAAATGTTAAGAAATTGTTTGGTCTATATTAGGACTGGAGTTTTTTTTTTAACATTTTATTTATTTATTCATGAGAGAGACAGAGAGAGAGGCAGAGACACAGGCAGAGGGAGAAGCAGGCTCCCTGAGGGGAGCCCGATGCGGGACTCAATCCTAGGATCCCGGGATCACGACCTGAGCCAAAGGCAGATGCTCAACCACTGAGCCACCCAGGTGCTCCAGGACTGGAGTTTTAATAACCCTTGGAGTTTGAGCCACTCTTCAAGTCCTAGTCTTAAATTAACTGCATGTTTCCTCAGGTGATGTTTAATATCCACTAGAAAATCACATGGTGAGTTTTTGAAACAGATGTGTTTCTGGTGGGCACTATTTCTTTTTTTCTTTTTTCCTTTTTTAAATAATCTCTACAAAAAAAAATAAAATAAAAAATCTCTACACCCAATGTGGGGCTTGAACTTACAACCCTGAGATCAAGAGTCACTCACTCTACTGACTAGCTAGCCAGGTGCCCCACACTATTTCTATTTTAATCTGAAATAGGAAACACATAAAGAATTAGTTTAAATCGGGGGCGCCTGAGTGGCATAGTTGGTTAAGCGTCTGACTCTTGATTTCAGCTCCGGTCATGGTCCCAGGGTCCTGGAAAGGAGCCCCATGTCACACTCAGCACGATGTCTGCTTAAGACTCTCTCTCCCTCTCCTCTGCACTACCTCATCCCCCCTCTCTCACTTTCTCTCTCAAATAAATAAATAAATAAATCTTGAAAAAAAAGAGTGAGTTTAAATCAAACACGAATTGGGACACCTGGGTGGCTCAGTGGTTCAGCATCTGCCTTTGACTCAGGGCGTGATCCCGGGGTCCTGGTATCGAGTCCCACATTGGGCTCCCCGCAGGAAGCCTGCTTCTCCCTCTGCCTGTGTCTCTGCCTCTCTCTCTCTCTCTCTGTGTCTCTCATGAATAAATAAATAAAATCTTTTAAAAAATAAATAAATCAAGCATGAATTCCTTTTCCTCCTAACAGGGTGATGTGGGACATTGATGGTATATTAAATAATTGTCAAAATCATAGTGCCCTTTTATTTCATTGGCATCTCTCTTCCTCTGACTTAGGGTCAGAGCAGCAGCATGAGTGGTATGTCTGAGCAAACAACTGGGACCAGTTATAAAGATTTTCTTTGTCTCTTCAGAAAAAAATTTAAATATTTCTATTTTGTGTTAACATTAACAGGATTATTCAAAACTTGCCCGTACCAACCAGAGCCACACAAAGTGCTTTTTAAAATAATTTTTGAATTTAGAAGGACTATCCAGAAAAGTTATTTTAAAACAACTCACTGACAGGGGCGCCTGGGTGGTTCAGTCGGTTAAGTGTCTGATTCTTGGTTTCGGCTCAGGTCATGATCTCAGGATCCTGAGGTCGAGCCCATGTTGGGCTCCCTGTTCAGTGGAGAAGCTACTTCCCCTCTCTCTCTCTACCTGGCCCATGCACCAGCTCTCTCTCTCTCTCTCTCTCTCTCTCTCAAATAAATAAATCTTTTTAAAAAGAGTTAAAAATAAAATAAAACAACCTAGCGACAATACCTCAGACTTTATATTCATACTGGGCTTCCTTGACTACCAAACAGGTTGAAAAATGCTTATATTTTTCATCATTAAATCCTTTTATTGCAGAAAAATTCAAATGTATATACAAAGAGAGACTAGTATAATAAGCAGGATGTGCCCATCACTCAGTAATTATCAAGTTATGGGCCAGCCTTATTTCATATATATCTTCCTCCTCTCTCACACCTGGATTGTTTTGAAGCAAATCTAAGGTATTATTTGATCCAGAGCTATTTCGGTGTATATCTATAAAAGATAAAGTCTTTTTTTTTTTTTGAAAGATAAAGTCTTTAAAAAATATAACTACAATACTGTTTTCACACCTAAAAAATAACAGTCACTCCTTAGAATCACCAGTGAGTTAGCATCTAAAGTTTCCTCATTGTCTCATAAATGTCTTTGTACCATTTATTTAGTTTAATAAGGATCTGAATGAGGTTTATGCAATTGGTTAACATATTGAATCTCTATATCTATATCTCTATAATGTAATCTATAGATCCCCCTTCCATTTCTTTTTTTTTCCCTTGAAATTTTTAACTAATCTCCATACCCAGCATTGAGCTTGAACTCACAACCCTGAGATCATCAAGAGTTGCAAGCTCTACCGACTGAGCCCATCAGGTGCCCCTTCCTTGCA